GCCTCCTGAGTAGCTGGGATTACAGGCACGCACCACCATGCCCAGCTAATTTTTTGTATTTTTAGTAGAGACGGGGTTTCACCATGTTGACCAGGATGGTCTTGATATCTTGACCTCGTGATCCACCCGCCTCGGCCTCCCAAAGTGCTGGGATTACAGGCTTGAGCCACTGCGCCCGGCCAATTCTATGTTTAATTTTTTGAGGAACTGCCATACTGTCTTCCAGAGCAGCTCTGTCATTTTACATTCCTATTAACAGTGCACAAGAGTTCCAATTTCTCCATTTCTTTGCCAAAACTTGTTATGTTCTATTGTTTTCATTTCTGTTTTTTATAATAGCCATCCTACTGGGTGTGAAGTGGTTTCCCTCTTTCTTTCTTAACCACCCTATGGGAAGCTTAGCTACTCTGATCATGATTTTTCTCCTTCCTCCCTCCGTTTCTTCCTTTTTTCACCAAACGTTTATTGAGCACCTGCTTATGCCAGGCCCGGTGCTAAACACTAGGCATATGGTGGTCAATAAAACAGATGTGGCACCTGTCCTCACATAGCTTACCCAATCATAAGCCAGATGTTTAGGAGGAAACAATCTCTTCAGTGTTACTTTAGCAAATGAATGCTATCCCATGACATGGAATGTAAATGTTGCATTGATCTCTGTAAGTGCTAAACCATAAAGATGGAAGGGATGAACACCCTGCCTCTGCTCCCCAAGAGATAAGAATTTATGCAAGGCATGGTGGCTCATGCTTATAATCCCAACAGTTTGGGAGGCTGAGGCAGGAGGATCACTTGAGATCAGGAGTTTGAGGCCATCCTGGCCAACATGGCGAAACCCTATCTCTAATGAAGATACAAAAATTAGCTGGGTGTCGTGGTGCTCACCTGTAGTCCCAGCTACCCAGGAGGCTGAGGCATGAGAATCACTTGAACACAAGAAGCGGAGTTTGCAGTGAGCCTGAACAACAGAGTGAGACTGTCTCAAAAAAAAAAAAAAAATTATGATCATTGAGCAAAGAATATATGACAGCATCAACTCTTTGACTCCCAAAAGGGAGGAGATTTGAAAGCTAAGCTATATTCGTAGCCTGAAAGGATAAGCGAGTGAAGGACAGGCAGCCTGGGAAATGGCAAGACCGGTGCCGTCTGGAGGGTGGAGCAGTAGCTTGAGAGGGAACTGAGCTGTTTGACTCAGAGCAGAAGGACTTGAACGAGGCAATAATGTGTTGAAGTCTCAAAGAGCCCAAAACATAGAAGGCTGTACTTCCAGAGAGGGCAGAACTGGAGTCCAAGATGGATCTTCTATATGACTTTTATTCATCAATTCCACTCATTCTTTCAAACGTTTATTTTACACTTTTCATGTGCCAGGCTATGCCAAGGTACTGGGTATATTTTGGTGATTAAAACAAATTTGACCTATGCCTATATGGACTCAGCTCAGTGAAGGAGCCAAACAATAACCAAGTAATCAAGCAAACGCATCACGCAAATGAGAAGAATTTTACCTAGGGGATAAAAACAGGGTGTGGTAAGAATATCTTTGGAGGGAGATGTTCAGTAAATAAAAGGGTGTTTGCAGGCTGGGTGTGGTGGCTCACGCCTGTAATCCCAACACTTTGGGAGGCTGAGGCGGGTGGATCATCTGAGGTCAGGAGTTCAAGATCAGCCTGACCAATATGGTGAGACTTGTCTCTACTAAAAATACAAAAATTAGCTGGGCATGGTGGCACATGCCTGTAATCCCAGCTACTTGGGAGGCTGAGACAGGAGAACTGCTTGAACCCAGAAGGCAGAGGTTGCAGTGAGCCAAGATTGTGCCATTGCACTACAGCCTGGGCGACAGTGAGACTCCATCTCAAAAACAAATAAATAAATAAAGGGTTTTTCCAAATGACTTCTTTGAACAAGTGACATTTAGGCTAAGACCCAGGGACAAGAAGCTGTTGGTCATCAGAAGAGTGTCTTGGCTGGGCGTGGTGGATCACACCTATAATCTCTGCACTTTGGGAAACGAAGGCAGAAGGATCACTTGAGCCCAGGAATTCAAGATCAGCCTATGTAACACAGAGAGACCCTGTCTCTTACAAATAATTTTTGAAAAATGATCCAGCAGTGGTGGCACTTGCCTGTGGTTGCAGCTACTCAGAAAGCTGAGGTGGGAGGGTCTCCTGAGCCCTGGAGGTAGAAGCTGCAGTAACCTATGATCACGCCATTGAACTCCAGCCTAGGTGACAGAGAGAGATCCTGTCAGAAAGAAAAGAAGAGAAGAGGAAGGGAAGGAGAGAGGAAGGGAAGGGAAGAAGAAGGAAGGAAAAGAAGAAGAAGAAAATGTGGAAGGGCTCTGTGTGGGACATACCCTGGTTCAAGGAATGGAGAAGAGGTCACTGCACCAAAGGATTCACTTTCTTTTTTTTTGAGACAGTCTCACTCTGACTCTGTCACCCAGACTGGAATCCAGTGGTGTGATCTTGGCTCACTGCAAACTCTGCCTACCAGGTTTAAGCGATTCTCCAACCTCAGCCTCCCTAGTAGCTGGGATTACAGGCACCCACCACCACGCCTGGCTAATTTTTTTGTATTTTTAGTAGAGATGGGGTTTTGCCACATTGGCCAGGCTGGTCTCGATCTCCTGACCTTGTGATCTGCACACTTTGGCCTCCCAAGGTGCTGGGATTACAGGTGTGAGCCATCACACCCAGCGGATTCACTTTCATTCTAGGTGCAGTTGGGAACAAGTGAAGGATTGTTAAGCAGGGAAGTAAACAGATATGATTTATGTCTCAAAATGATCACTCTGAATACTAAGTAGAAAATGAGGCTGGGTGTAGTGGCTCATGCCTGTAATCCAAGCACTTCTGGAGGCTGAGGCGGGTGGATCACCTAAGGTCAAAAGATCGAAACCAGCCTGGGCAATATGGTAAAACCCATCTCTTCTAAACATACAAAAAAAATTTAGCTGGGTGTGGTGGTGCATGCTTGTAGTCCCAGCTACTCAGGAATCTGAGGTGGGAGGATCACTTGAACCCAGGAGGTGGAGGTTGCAGTGAGCCGAGGTTGTGACACTGCACTCCAGCCTGAGTGACAGAGACTCTGTGTCAAAAAAAAAAAAAAAGAATGAAAATGAATTTGAGGGGCCAAGGGGGATGCCATGAACCAGTCAGGAGGCTACTACAGTGGTCCATGTGAGAAGTTTGTGGTTGGGACCAAGGTTGTGGGTGGCCTTGAGACGCAATTTAGAGCTGGATTCTTCAAGACTGAATGCTAGGTTGTTGTGGGGGAAAAGAGGGAGAGGAAGGGACGCAGACTCACCCCTAGCAGTGTGTGCATGGAAGTACCGTTGATGGAGATGGGAGGACTGGGAGAAGAATAAGTCTAGGGACACAAAAACTGGGAGTGAGGTTTGGATAGGTTAAATCTGAGATGCCTGTGAGTCATCCATGTGGAAATGTCCAGTAAGTAGTTATGTCTGGAACGCAGAGCAGAGGTTTGAGCTGGAGAAATAAATTTGGGAGCCAGGTAAAGATGAAATTCCCTAAAGAATGCTTAGGGGGAGCCGGGTGCGGTGGCTCAAGCCTGTAATCCCAGCACTTTGGGAGGCCGGGGTGGGTGGATCACGAGGTCAAGAGATCGAGACCATCCTGGTCAACACGGTGAAACCCCGTCTCTACTAAAGCTACAAAAAATTAGCTGGGCATGGTGGCACGTGCCTGTAATCCCAGCTACTCAGGAGGCTGAGGCAGGAGAATTGCCTGAACCCAGGAGGCGGAGGTTGCGGTGAGCCGAGATCGCACCATTACACTCCAGCCTGCGTAACAAGGCAAAACTCTGTCTCAAAAAAAAAAAAAGAAGAGGAGGAGGTGGCAGCAAAACAGGAGGAATGGCAAGAGACTGTGGCATCCTAGAAACCAAAAGGGGGAGGGGTGCCTTGAAAAGGAGAAGAGTAGGAAGTACAGGAAGTATTCCTGAGGTGTCAAGTAAGATGAAGACAAAAGGGAACCACCAGAGAGCTTCAAGATTGCAGCCTGGGGACAAGGTTAGCTGCAGGCACTAGGTAGAGTGGCATCCTAATTGTTGGGGCCACTGCAGTTTGTTGTGATCTCTGGGAGACTGCTGGAAGTTGGTGAGGTGCATAAGGTCTGTGTGGCTGGTGGAAAGGAACTGCTTTAAAAGTCAGGCAGTCTGGCCAGGTGCAGTGGCTCATGCCTGTAATTCCAGCACTTTGGGAGGCCGAGGCAGGTGGATCACCTGAGGTCAGGAGTTCAAGACCAGCTGGCCAACATGGTGAAATCTTGTCTCTACTAAAAATACAAAAAAATTAGCTGGGCATGGTGGCATGTACCTGTATTCCCAGCTATTTGGAAGGCTGAGGCAAGAGAATCTATCAAACCCAGGAGGTGGAGGTTGCAGAGAGCCAAGATCATACCACTGCACTCCAGCCCAGGTGACAGAGTGAGACTCCCATCTGGGTAGGTGCAGGGAAGAAGTCAGGTAGTCAGAGCATTTTGTCTCTCCTTCCCCTGCAGGGGTCTGTGAAGATCATGCTGCCCTGAGCCTGGCAAGATGGTGCAGGGGTTCAACAATCCCCTGCCATGTCCTTCTTCAGGCTCTGCCAATTCACCCGTGTCCCTCTCCCTCTGCCCGTTCCCCTACAGGACACTTCACAGCCATGGTATGGAAGAACACAAAGAAGATGGGAGTGGGGAAGGCATCCGCAAGTGACGGGTCCTCCTTTGTGGTGGCCAGATATTTCCCAGCAGGGAATGTTGTCAACCAGGGCTTCTTTGAAGAAAACGTCCTGCCACCAAAGAAGTAACTTGTCAAATGTAATGGAAAGGTGGCAGACTTAAGAACGTGGATATGAAGTGCCTAGAACAACCAAAACCTGGCTGTGCGTCTGCCCCAGTGGGAGTATGTGCTTGTGTGTATGATGCATGTGAGCGTCTCTGGTATATACACTTGGACATACAGGTCTATGTGAGCTCATTCTTATTACAAGAGTGAGCAAATGAAGCATTAACCCTGATGGTTACCTAGACCACGATTATTTGGATTTGGGGGAGGGGAGAATCAGTTTTTTAATTTTTTTGTTATTTTTAAGCAAACTTCTTTTGTATCTTTCTTCTAATATCCATCCCTGGACTTTTTGTATTCCAAATGTTTGTGATGCTGAGAAATGAAGTTCATTTTATGAGATCTTCATGCGTCATAATCTACTTTTGTGACATAAGATACAGCTTTAAGCACATAAATATAAAGCAGCTTCCATCAGAAACATGGAGCAGGCAGGGGCTCCATTTTTACAGAATTATCGAGATTTCTGAGTTGTAAAACATGATGTCATCCTGCATGCCTCCCGGAATTCTCCAATGGGATCGCCAAAGAACAAATGGAGAAAAAAAGCTTTACTACCTTGCATTCTTCTACCCTTAAATAGCAAAGTACCCCTACCACCACCACCTCTTGCCCCTTCCCTCTTTTCTTAAACTTCTGGCATTTTAGAGCTCAGCAGGCTACCCAGGTTTCTGGAGAGTTGGGCTAGGCCTGAAGCTCCCCCTCCCCCACCTCTGCTAGGCAGCCCAGGCCTGGTCTGGGAGACAGCCCCCTCACTCTGCCTGGGCTCTTGGCCAAGCGGCCTTGGATGGATGAAGTCAGAGAGGTGGGGTGAGGGTGAGCTCACTCAGGGCCCCCAGAGGAAGCCCTCCAGCCTCTGCCCTCCCCCGACACAGGGTGGGAGCCCAGGCCTGTTCCTGGCAGCTGTGGCTGCAGCTGTGCCGCTGCTCCTTCCTGGAATGTGCAACAAGCCCAAATGTTCCAAGGAGACGTTCCAGGCAGGGGGCTTAGAAATGCTAATATGGTTCTGTGTTTTGCCTGAAACGATACCAGGTTCCCCTGAATAGCAACTTTACAAGGTCCATGTGGGAGGGACCAACCCAGATGCCATGCCAAGTGTCCCTGAAACCATGACAGCTCCATCTGTCAAGATGACAGGGGCGGGAGTGAGGGGGCTGCTGGCTTAACAGAGCCATCTGGGCAGGCCAATCCTCAAAGCAGCTCCTGAAGGTCTGTGTTGCCCTGTGACCAGTCTCACGCTATGCCTCTCATTTCCCCGAGGATATTGACCAAGACAATAAAATCTCTTTCTTTGTACAGTGTCTTCCTCCAATGTGATTCATACCTGAAACTCAGTGGCTGAGACAATCCATGACTCTGAATTCCTCTCTTGATTAACTCAAGCCCTGGAATACCTGCAACCCATCCCCTGTGGACTGTGGTGCTTAAGTGGCCAAGTTTTAAGCCATGTGACCCACAAGCACATAGCTGATTAGACTAGCCGTGGACACTGGATCCAACAGCAGCCAATCACCAGGCTGGCCATGGACTGGTAATTTCAGCTAAGAAATGTGGAGAGAATTTACCAGTGGAACTGAAAAAAATAAGGATGCCATTAATTGGAATTAGGGCCATGGCAGACCAAAGCTACTTGCAAGCCAGGCTATGAATGGGAAAGACATAGAAGCAAAGAAGCCAGTTATTGGAGGTACAAAAGGGGAGGAGATGCTGAGAATATTCTTGAATGTTCCTGAGTTTTCTAGCTCCAGCCTAAATCTGTATATCTTTAAAATATGCCCCTCATTTTCTTCAGGGCTTCCAAACAAACTGATACACCAGCCAATAGTCCCCAAAGATTAGAATTATATCGTCTCTTCCTAAAGGAAGACACCATGAATGGAAAATGTGAAGCCTGGCAGGAAGCTGATGGTGGGTGGAGTGGAGAGACCCCTCTGAGGTCCTTTTCTGGCCTCTCCTGGCAAGCTGCCAGCCAATGAACTTGGTGCTCTTCATGTCATCCCCCTCCACCCCAATATACACACACACACAACCAGGTGGTAGAAGCGAGCATGCAGCCAGCCTCCATGGGCTGGAGTTTGTTTCCGCAGTTGGCTGGATTAAGGAAAAAGCTGGACCAGGGGAGCTTTCCTGAGCTGAAGAAATGCCAGACGGTGAAGCTGGCCGAGCAGGTGGGCACTAATCTCACTTTAAAGGATTTATTGAAGATGGCAAGCCTCACAATCCGAAAAGAACAAGGACAAACCAAACTGCGGCTCTCCTTTGTAGCCAGAGGACAGAAGAAGGAGACAGATCTCTGGGTGCAAGGCTTTTCCTCTCCCTGGGCCTCAGTTTATACACCTGTATGAGGCCTGGCACATGGAATTAGGTCCATCAGTTCTCTCAGGCCCCCATGACACCTCCAGACCAACTTAATGCTGTAAGTGTCTGATGAGAGAGCTCATTCCTGCCTTGGTGCTCTGGGACCCGAAACAAAAACAAACATGACTACCTCTATCACTGAAATGCCCCCAAGGCTGAAGTTTGCAGGTGGAGGGCGGGGGAGAGGGCAAAGGAGTTGTGAAGCAGCAGGGCCTGACCCACCCACCTCTTGCTCCCTGGTGAAGATGCCCCAGGAGGCAAGATCTGCCGGTCTGCACGCCCATGGGATCCAGGTGTCTGGCATCAGCACTGAGGCCTCATCCTTCACCCAAGTCGCTGCTGCTTGGAAGAAGTTCAGGGCTGAAGAGGTATTGAGAGCTTAATTATTCTTCCAGGGAGACAGCTGACCCAGAGAGCCTCATCTAAGCTCTACCCCTGGCCTCTGGAGGCAGAGGCTGAAATTGATGTCTTCTTTCAATGGGGAAAACAGAAGTTCTTCACCTTGTGCATATATCATATCCCAAGTCTAAGTCTCTCTGTCCTATTAAGGCAGGAAGGTGGACACATTCAGTTTAAAGGGGTATTTTCAAATAATTTTCAAGTTACCAAATTTAAAATAAGGAAAAGTCTAGGTCTGGAATGAAAGAATGAGGGAGGAAGACAATGAGAACGAGAACATGACTAAGCCAGGGAGGGAAAGCACTGGACCCGCTCAGATTCCCAAGGCTGACACTGAAATTTCCTGGGAAGGGCGCTGAGGACGGCCCGAGGGTCTGGAGTGGGGCTTGGGCCCAGATTGGAGATCAGGGGCAGGTCCTTCCTGCACCTTCTCGCGAATGCCTGGGCGAGATGCAAGTCGAGGCCCTTCCTAGGGTCTCTTCCCAAAGGCTGGTCCAGGTGGGGCCGCTGGGCTCTTTTGCCTCCCCCTCCCTCTAGCCCGCGGGGCTCCAGCTGGCCCTTATCCCCTCCTTACACAAACAGCAGTGCCACAGATGCCCCACAGTACTTCTAGAGCCCCACGCCGGCCAGGAATCTGTCCGAGCCCGTGGACATCCTCCTCTCTCCCCGCAGCGGGACTCGCAGGGGTCAGGAACTCCCCAACTGTTGCTGGGAGTCGGAGGCGGCCTGCTGGCCTCTGGCGGGCGCGCCCCCGTTGAGGCTCAGCGTCCCCATCTGTAAAGTGGGGAAAGGTGTGTGTCTGTGGGGATCTAAGAAGTCCTGCCAGGCTGAGAGCCCTCGATCCTGCTGTTTGAATTCCAGGGTCGCGGCGGACAGCACGGCGCTGCGGCCTCTGCACGGTGGCGCGTGGAGGTAAAGCGAAAAACGGGACGCCCCGCGCCTCTTTTCCATCCTGGAGAGGGGTTGGGGTGGTGCCTGGCGCGGAGGCGGTGCGCTCGGGGGTGGTGACGACCCTCCAGCGCCACCGCGTGGCTGGACTGGGCTTGGGCGGCCGACCCAGAAGAGACGTGAGGGAGCCGCAGCCTCCCCAGCTGCCATGAAACCAGAACCACGACGACCGCAAGTATTTATGAAGGGAGCAGCCCCGAACGCCGGTGCTGGGCGAACTGGTGTAACATGAGTAAGAAAATGGCAGCTAACATTAATTGAGGGTTTATGACAAGCCCACTACTCTCTAGTCCTCTTCTCGTTTAAACTATAATAACAGACGCCTCTAATCCCAACACCTTGAGAGACCAAGGCGGGTGGATCACCTGAGGTCAGGAGTTTGAGAACAGCTTGGCAACATGGTGAAACACTGTCTCTACTAAAAACACAGAACTGGCCAGGGGCGGTGGCTCACGCCTGTAATCTCAGCACTTTGGGAGGCCGAGGAGGGTGGATCACCTGAGGTCAGGAGTTTGAGACCAGCCTGGCCAACATGGTGAAACGCCGTCTCTACTAAAAATACAAAAAATTAGCCGGGCATGGTGGCGCACGCCTGTAATCCCAGCTACTCGGGAAGCTGAGGCAGGAGAATTCTTGAATATGGGAGGTGGAGGTTGCAGTGAGCTGAGATTGCGCTATTGCACTCCAGCCTGGGCAACAAGAGTGAAACTCCGTCTCAAAAAAACAAAACAAAATTTAGCCGGGTGTGGTGGCAGGTGCCTGTAATCCCAGCTACTCGGGAAGGTCTTGTGGGGGAGGGGGAAAAGACAGGGGAATTGCAATTGAAAAAAGAAGAATAATTCATGCGGACTCGGCTGTGCGGAAGACTGGACAGTTTTGATTTTTGAGAAGTCTCTGTCACCTAGGATAGAATGCAATGGCATGATCTCTGCTCAGTGCAACCTCCGCCTCCCGGGTTCAAGTGATTCTCCTACCTCAGTCTCCCAAGTAGCTGGGATTACAGGCATTACAGGCATGTGCCACATGCTTGGCTAATTTTTTTTTTTTTTTTTTTTTTGAGACAGAATCTTGCTTTGCCACCCAGGCTGGAGTGCAATGGCGTGATCTCAGCTCACCTCTGTCTCCCCGGTTCAAGCGATTCTCCTGCCTCAGCTTCCCAAGTAGCTGGGACTACAGGCATGCGCCACCATGCCCAGCTAATTTTTGTAGTTTTAGTAGAGTTGGGGTTTCACTATGTTGGCCAGGCTGGCCTCGAACTCCTGACCTCAAGCCATCCACCCACCTTGGCCTCCCAAAGTGCTGGGATTATAGGTGTGAACCACCGCACCCGGCCTGATTTTTGTATTTTTAGTAGAGACAGGGTTTCACCGTGTTGGCCAGGCTGGTCTTGAACCCCGGACCTCAGGTGATCTGCCTGCCTCGGCCTCCCAAAGTGCTAGTATTACAGGCATGAGCCACTGTGCCCTGCCTGGAGTTTTATTATTACTCAAATTAGCCTCCAGAGCATTGGGGGAGCAGAGTTTTTAAGGATAACTTTGTGGATAGGGGAAAGCCAATGAGCCAGGAGTGCTGCTGACTGGTCAGAGATGAAATCTTAGGGAGTCAGAGCTGTCTTCTTGGGCTGAGTCAGTTCCTGGGTGGGGCCCACAAGATCAGATGAGTAGTATATCAGTTTGAGTGGTGCCAGCTGATCCATCAAGTGCAGGGTCTGCAAAGCATTGTAAGCACTGATCTTAGGAGCAGTTTAGGGAGGGTCAGAATCTTGTAACCTCCAGCTGCATGACTCCTAAATCATAATTCTAATCTTGTGGCTAATATTAGTCCTACAAAGACAATCTAGTCCCCAGGCAAGAAGGAGGTCTGCTTTGGGAAAGGGCTGTTACTGTCTTTGTTTAAACTATAAACTATATGTATAGGTTTCTCCCAAAGTTAGTTCAGCCTTTTCCAAGGAATGAATAAGGCCAGCTTGGAGGCTAGAAGCAAGATGGAGTCAGCTAAGTTGATCTCTTTCACTGTCTTAGTCATAATTTTGCAAAGGGGGTTTCAAGCTGAGATGGCACCACTGCATTCCAGCCTGGGCAACACAGCAAGACTCTGTCTCAAAAAAATAAAAATAAATTCGTAATAATCTTTGAAGCAAGTACTACTATCAAATATTAGCTCTATCTCACAGAGGAGGAAACAGGTTTAGAAAGTCTGAGCCACTCGCCCATGTCCACCCTTGATGGAGACACTTGGAAACGTGGGGGGAACATTCTAGTTTGCCATGGAGCTGAAATAATGTGGGCTTTAAAGACCCTCCATGCCCCAGTTTGTGGTTAACCCCTGTATCCCTGCTCCAGGGAGTGGCCTCCACCTCTCCATTTTGAAGGAGAATAATGTCCGTGGCCACCAAGGTCAGAAGCCAAAGGGCAGAATTTTTCTCTGATGCCCAGGAGCCTTGGCAGGAAGAGTGCTTGGAGAGTTGAGAGTCAGAGTCTGGGGAAGTTGGGTAGTCAGGAGCTTCTAGAATGGTAGGAACAGTGCCAGGTTGCTAAGGTTCTTGGCCTTGCTCTGCTTCCAATAGGCTATGTGATCTTAAGCAAGTCCCTTCTTTTCTCTGGGCCTCCATTTCCCTCAAAATGAGAGGATTCTTCTAGAAGGTCTGATCATCTCTTCCCTTTTCCCCACCTCCACTTATCTCTCCTACACAAACTTCTCCCCACTGTCCCACCTACCCTGGCTCTGACATTCCAGAAGCCTTGAACTGTTTGAAAGTCCCAGGTAGGATTTGTTGCCCATCCCTGAGGTTCCTTCTGAGCTCTGGACCCTGGCTTTAGGTCCTGGTAGAATATGTCACCTTGACAGGTTGGAGAGATCAGTGGGGAGGAAGATTCAGTGCCTCTGAGACAGACCTCAGGAAGGCCTGCATTGTGATGACCTCATCCACTCTGTGACATCATCCTCACTCCCACCCTCTCTTCTCCTGGTCAACCACTCTGCAAACAACCATCAATCTGAATCCCAAAGGCCTGAGAAAGTCTGTTCTCCAGTACCTGCTGCTGATCTGTTTCAGCCAACCAGAAACAACATGAAATTGGAATTCACCGAGAAAAACTACAACAGCTTCGTGCTGCAGAACCTGAATAGACAGAGGAAACGCAAAGAGTACTGGGACATGGCCCTGAGCGTGGACCACCACGTCTTCTTCGCACATCGCAATGTGCTGGCTGCTGTCTCCCCGCTGGTAAGGAGCCTCATCTCCAGCAATGACATGAAGACCACCGATGAGCTCTTCATCACCATTGACTCCAGTTACCTGAGCCCGGTCACAGTGGACCAGCTCCTGGACTACTTCTATAGTGGCAAGGTGGTGATCTCTGAGCAAAACGTGGAGGAGCTACTTCGTGGGGCTCAGTATTTCAACACACCACGCCTTCGAATTCACTGTAATGACTTCCTTATCAAGTCCATCTGCCGTGCCAACTGCTTGCGCTACCTCTTCTTGGCCGAGCTATTTGAGCTCAAAGAGGTATCAGACTTAGCTTACTCTGGCATTCGCGACAACTTCCACTACTGGGCCAGTCCTGAGGGCTCCATGCACTTCATGCGCTGTCCCCCTGTTATCTTTGGCCGCCTGCTCCGTGATGAAAACCTTCACGTGCTCAATGAGGACCAGGCTCTCAGCGCACTCATCAATTGGGTATATTTCCGGAAGGAGGAACGGGAGAAGTATTTCAAGAAGTTCTTCAATTACATCAGTCTCAATGCTGTCTCCAACAAGACACTGGTGTTTGCCAGCAACAAGCTGATGGGCATGGAGAACACCTCATCCCATGCAACACTGATTGAGAGTGTCCTAATGGACCGCAAGCAGGAGCGGCCATGCAGCCTGCTGGTCTACCAGCGGAAAGGGGCCCTGCTCGATTCAGTGGTCATCCTTGGTGGCCAGAAGGCCCATGGCCAGTTCAACGATGGAGTGTTTGCCTATATCATCCAGGAGAACCTGTGGATAAAGCTCTCCGACATGCCTTATCGGGCAGCAGCACTTAGTGCCACCTCTGCTGGTCGCTACATCTACATCTCTGGTGGCACCACTGAGCAGATTTCAGGGCTGAAGACGGCCTGGCGGTATGACATGGATGACAACTCCTGGACCAAGTTGCCCGACCTGCCCATCGGGCTTGTGTTCCACACCATGGTGACCTGCGGGGGGACGGTGTACTCAGTGGGCGGGAGCATTGCCCCAAGGCGGTATGTATCCAACATTTATCGCTATGATGAGCGGAAGGAAGTCTGGTGCCTGGCAGGGAAGATGAGCATCCCCATGGATGGCACCGCCGTGATCACGAAAGGCGACCGGCATCTGTACATTGTCACTGGACGGTGCTTGGTGAAAGGTTATATCTCCCGGGTCGGGGTAGTGGACTGCTTTGACACCAACACCGGGGATGTGGTCCAGTGTATCACTTTCCCCATTGAGTTCAACCACCGACCCCTGCTCTCTTTCCAACAAGACAACATCCTCTGCGTGCACAGCCACCGGCAGAGCGTGGAAATCAATTTGCAGAAGGTAAAGGCCAGCAAGACAACCACCTCAGTGCCTCTCTTGCCCAACAACTGCCCCTTGGATGTGTCCCATGCTATATGCTCCATTGGAGACAACAAGGTGTTTGTATGTGGGGGTGTCACCACCGCCAGCGATGTCCAGACAAAGGACTACACCATCAATCCAAATGCCTTCTGGCTGGACCAAAAGACAGGCGAGTGGAAGACCCTGGCTCCCCCACCAGAGGCACTGGACTGTCCTGCCTGCTGTCTAGCCAAGCTACCTTGCAAAATTCTTCAAAGAATTTAAACAACATTTTAAGTGGGAGAATAAGTAAATGCATTATTATTCACAATTTAATGAGAAAGAGAGGAAGATGGCCTGTTGGTTCCTTCTTATTGTTCCAGTCCACACTTTGTCCTGAAGGTGGAGATCCTGGGGTAGAGCTGCTCGCAGTGGGTGGAAACTCAGGGCTACTGTGTCACTGGAGGTCTCCAACAGGGGCTGGAAAGGAACCCCTGGTGGGTGGGACAGGCCTCTCCCAGGCCTGGCCAAGGCAATGTCTGTCTCCTATTCTCTACCCCTGTGATCACCTCTCAGGCTTCTGCTAGATCGACAGGTAAACATCACTCAGAGCTGTGAAGCATTGAGCTCCTCTAGTACCCACTTCCCTTGGGTCTCCCATGAAAGTAGGAGAACACCTGTCCCAGGTCTAAGAGACGAACCTCACGGCCAGGAGGGAGAAGGTGATCTAGGCAAGGCACAGAAAAGAAGGCAGAAGGAACAGGGGAGGCAAGGTGGCTTGGCTACTATATTTGCCCATACAGCTATGGTAGTTTGTGTCTCATTTGTGGGCAAGATGGAGGTTTCTTACAATTGTTTCTAGTAAGCCAGTTGCATTGATAACTTTCTCCAGGAATATGAGTCTGAGGGACTGGGGATTAAAGAGAGGCCAGTAAAGGGAGAAGAAAGAAACATATATCCTGGCCAGGCATGGTGGCTCATGCCTGTAATCCCAGCACTTTGGAAGGCAGAGACAGGAGGATCACCTGAGCCCAGGAGTTTGAGACCAGCCTGGGCAATAAAGCGAGACCCCATTTCAAGTATAAAAAGCAGATCGCCGGGCGCGGTGGCTCACGCCTGTAATCCCAGCACTTTGGGAGGCCGAGGCGGGTGGATCACGAGGTCAAGAGATCGAGACCATCCTGGTCAACATGGTGAAACCCCGTCT